AATATATCATATTGCACTTGTCCTTTTGATGACTTATCAACAAAACTTACAGCACAAATCCCAAAGGTATTGACTAATCCATTCAGTTTGTCAAAACATCAGCGTCACTATCGGACAGCATTCCTTCTGATGACTATGCACTAATGATTTGTTATATACTAGGGTGATATGGCAACATTTGAGCTCTTATCCCAGTCATTTCATCATGGYAGTATTACTGGTATGGATGTATGTATCAGAAAACCTCTCATAGCAACATGTGGTCTGGATAGATCTGTTAGAATATGGAACTATGAAACATGGTAAGTAGAATTACCAACATTACTTTGGGTCCAGCAAACCATCCTTGGAGTTCTACTTAGAACCTCTTTTGAATTATCCTCTGTGGGGTAGTGTAGGAACTAAACTGTATACCCTCCCCAGATGAACTCCTCGCCCCCTTGGAAATTCCAGTTCTCCTCCAAAGAGGACAGATATGGATATCTGGAACTACACAACATATCCTCCCCAGACCAGTCTACAGGTGGYCTTGGAAATTCCAATTCCTTTATTTGGGGCATAGATATTTTTTGAAACTACTTATTAYTGTAAATTAAAAAGGCCAAGAGGCCCAAAAAGAACAAAAGAGGAAAGAGAATGAAAGAGAAGAAGATATTGTATTGGATTAGTCATATGGCATATTAATGCCCTTTGATTTATATAAAATTCTYCTGTATCTGATTATATTTATGAAMATTGATATATCATCAGCTCACTAGAAGCCTATAAAGAGTTCCAAGAAGAGTGCTACAGTATTGCTCTTCACCCATCTGGTCTCTACATCCTGGTTGGGTTTAGTGACAAACTGCGACTGATGAACCTATTGATAGATGATATCAGGTCCTTTAAAGAGTTTACCATCAGAGGATGCCGAGAGGTAATGCTTGTGAACAAAACCCAAAATATATGTTAATAGACCTATAACAACCTCCAATGTGATTGGTTCATTCAGTGTGCCGAGATCATCCCGCTCATCCGTTTAATCTCGTTCTCTCTCTTCCTAGTGTTCTTTCAGTAATGGTGGACATCTTTTTGCTGCTGTTCATGGCAATGTCATCCAGCTCTACTCTTCAACTACCTTTGAGAATGTAGGAAACCTCAAAGGTCACAATGGAAAGGTATGGCCAAAGCATGACTTGAATAGGCTACCTGTGGCAACAGGAAGCCCAATGTTATACTCAGTAACAAAGATGTTGGGGAAAATATGCAATATGCAAAGACTGTAATATAACATCTCGTACCTCCATTTTATATTAATTCTGACCTTTGTTTAGGTTCGTCAAGTGATCTGGAGTCAAGACGACAGTAAGATAATCTCTTGTGGTATGGATGGTGCTGTATATGAGTGGAATGTCTATAACTACAAGCGTGAAGGGGAAAGTGTACTCAAGTCCTGTAGTTATACTAGTGTGTCCGTCTCTGCTGATGGRCGAACAACATTTGCCGTTGGCTCTGACAGAACATTGAAAGAAATATGTGATTCACAGGTGAGTAGTCCAAGCCTTGTTTTTAAGGGACACATGAAGAGGGGAACATGAGGGAAGGGTTAGGAGAAGCAACAYATAGCGGAGGAGTACTTCTCGACACTTTAATTATTTTACCAATACACATGTGCTTTATAAATAGAGCGTGCTATGTGCTCTCATAAAGCACACACTACCWACCAATTAGAACGCAAGATTTATAACAGTTATTTAATACTTTGTTCTAATTATCGCCTTCAGATTTTGAGAGAGGTGGAAGCAGCAGATACAGTCCTAACCCAGTGCRTCATGTCTCGGTCCGGCAGAATGTTGTTTGCCGGAACCAGTGCTGGTACCTTGAGGGCCATGAAGTTCCCGTTGACTGTACCAGGGGAGTGGCAAGAACACCARGTGCATTCTGGGTCCATAAACAAGGTGAGGTACCATTAAGATACCACAGGCAACATATTCAGATTTTGACAGGCAACCTATTTTAATATTGGATTCCACTTGATTCTCATTCAAATATTTGTTCTTTCAGATGCGCATGTCATACGACGATCAGTATCTGTTCACAGTGAGCGAGGACGCATCTTTATTCATTTTCAAAGCGGTTGACAAAGAAGGGCGTGGACTGAAGAGAGATAAGGAAGCTGGTTACGCTGAAGAGATTTTGATCACCAAGTCTGACTTGGAAGAGAAGGTGAGTTATATCATCATTAGGCTAAGGCCTTCTTGAAACCGTTAAGGATAAGCGCACTTTTGATAAGTCTCATAACGCACCTTTAATCAGAAACCGCAGAGGTGAAGGGTGGTTGGGATTTGATTTCTAGTGTTTCTCAATTRGCTCTCTCTGTGATCCTACGCGATGCTTAATAAACACGACTTTGCAAACTGAATAGCAYAAGCACCGTGCGTTCTTCCCTAATGCATGCAAAGTCGTATTGTCTGTCCRTGCCTTAATCAATAGAGGCTTTGCATCATCACGTGATGGCAGCCATGTCAGGAGGCAGGRACAATTGAATCTGGTCTCATCTGATTTACATGGGAAAGAATACAGTTTGCCCTGGGGAGAACAACTCTGCCATTACGTGAGGGTGCAAAGCCTCTATACAAGCTCTTGAAATGCAGACGAGCCAATGTTTCACGTTTCTTTGCGTTTTATATTTTCCTTTTTTTACCATAGCTACATATCACCAGAAACAATTTTTTGATGCTGTTTTTATATCTTTAGAATTCCATGATGGCGGAGCTGAAGACTCGAGTCGAAGAACTCAAGATGGAAAACGAATACCAACTGCGACTTAAAGACATGAACTACAACGAGAAGATCAAAGAACTGACRGAAAAGTTCATCCAAGAAATGGAGTCTCTGAAGACTAAAAACCAGGTGCTCAAAACCGATAAAGAGAAAGAAGAAGCGAAACACGAAGAAGAKATCGCAGACCAGATGGAAAAACACGGCAAGGAACTGCAAGACTTGGAGTCTGCTAACAACCAGAAGTTGATGTCTGAGTACGAGAAGTATCAAGAACTACAGGCCAAGAGTCARAAGATGCAGGAGGATTATGAAAGACAACTGACGGAGATGGAAGAGGCCCGAGAGCAGGTCCTTGAGGAACTCACGGAGTATTATGAGAATAAGCTACAAGGGAAGACTTCTCAGCTGGAACAGGTACCTAA